TCGACTGGTCATAGATCATCCTGCTAAAAATTTGCCCAATCGATACAGTAGTTTATGAGTTTAAAATTTAAATAAAACATCACTATCAAATTAGCTTTAAAATAAAAAGAACATCACAAAAATGGACAATCCTATGATTTAAAAAATCGAAAAGGCTTAAAAATTAGATTTTACAGGGTGAGGCATATATATCGCTACACCTCTAGCACGCACAAATTTGTCTGCCAGCGGAAAACTGATTATATTTTCGGGGTAATCGATGTTTCCCATCGAAGAACTAGCGTTTCTTTATGCAGGAAATAAACGTAAATGGTTGAAAATTGTTTCGATTTGGGTTTAGCTTACAGGGAAGTTCAGCGCTTTTCTCGAAAAAGTGGTGTGTTGGCACGCTGCTCCTAGAACCCCGTATATGCGTAACTCTGGTTCAGTTTTTTTGTATTCTGGTTCAGTCGGATCTTATTTATTTTTTCCAATAGGTTTTTAGTCGGAAACTAGCGAGGGAATTTTACTACATTCAAAAAAGGAGTGATGACACACCCCACCCACCCTTTTGTTGGCCCTTAAAAATTATTCAGAAAATCTAAGCCACCTGAATATTTCGATTCGAGCAATTTTTTGAATTCTAGGCATCTGGTACGAGCAATTCCCAATGATAAAACCAGGAAATTGAACGAGTACAAGTCAAAAAATATATTTTTATGTTTTTTACTATGATTTTTGCAACCAGTTGAGACAAAGTTTTAACTTGCTGCCGAATGAAAAGAAATAAGTTGGTCTCATTGTCTTTTTAGACAATTTCTAAGTAGTGCAAAAGTTTTTAGGGGTCATTCGGGTCCAAATCAATGTTTCCGAACCATGCCGAAATCGACCGCCAAGGGGTTCCGTGCCAGACCCACCTAAAGACGCCCAGTTTTTACTTTAGAACAAGTGTTTATAGGGTTGTTGCGTTATAAGATTTTAAGAGTGTCGAAAGGACACATGTAGCTATATCCCAGCGAAATATTGAAGCCCGGCTCGCTTTAATACTTTTTTGACGGACCCGGAATGTGTAGCGATATATATGCCTCACCCTGTAAATGTATTTTTTGCTGGGGTGGAGGTGGATTTTTCACGGACAGAAGCTAATATTCGTTTATAAATAACCGGTTCATAATTTATAATACATTTTCTAGTGTTTTAGTAGCTTTTGATTGCTAGAAAGTTAGCAATTAAATTTTTAAAATATCCGAAAATATCGAAATTTTTAATTATTGTGGTATTTTTGATGCTTTTTTGACCAAACTAGAAAAATCGAAAAATCCTATAATTTTTATGTGCTTTTTGTATCTAAAATTCAATTCTAATCTATAAGAACTAAATCGCTAAATATCAAGAATTTTGACGGCAAAAACACGAAAGGATTTTAGAGACAAATTAAATCTTTCGAGAAAATATGGAATTTTCTGCATTTCAGTTAATCCACGCGACCATGGATACCCGATAAAAATTCGCCCAATCGCTACACTAGTTCAGGGGCTTAAAATTGAAATAAAGCATCAATATACAAAGTAACGTTAAAATAAAAAGAGCACCGGAAAAATAAAATCTTTCGTGCAAATAAGGAGTTTCGTGCTTTGACTTCAATGTACTGACAAAAAGACAACAGTCCTAGCAATTGGCCCGGAAGAAACAGTCGTTTATGAGCTTAAAATTGAAATAAAGCATCAATATACACATTAATCCTACCTTATATAATTTGGTCGCGTATCTTTGTCTGTGTGTGTGTGCGGAGGTCAGTTTCGAGGCCAGATTTGAGGCCCTTCCCGTGTCCAAAACCCCCCAATTCTCCGTCACTTGGGGGAACCGACCCTCCTCTTTTCGATGATGTTTTCAGAATTCCGATAAAATGCATGTTTACAAAGTTAAAGCCAGTTTTATTCATTTTTGGGGGTCCGGGAGGGCTAATTTGCATAATGTGAAAAAATACAAATTTCCTCATTCTTGCAATTTGCACGCGCGTGTGTGGTCGGTGGGGAGAAGGGGTCCGAAGGACCCGAGCTATCGGAAATTCAAATTTTTCATGCAAAGGCCCAATTCCAGCGCCCAAGGCCCGCGAAGCGGGTTTTGGGCGCTGGTTTTAAAATAAAAAGAACATCACAAAAACGGACAATCCTATGATTAAAAAATGAAAAATTAAAAAATCAGAAATTTCGACGCCAAAAACACAAGAAATTTTTCAGAGAAAAATAAAATCTTTCGAGAAAATATGGAGTTTTCTGCATTGCGATTAATCCACTGGCTGTTATACAAATAACCGCTATAAAAATTCGCCCAATTGCTACAGTAGTTTATGGGTTTAAAATTTAAATAAAACATCAATTTCCAAAGTGATGTTCAAAAAAGGCATCACAAAAAATGTAAATTCCTAGGATTTAAAAAATCGGAAATCCTTTTAAAATGTTTTGCGAGGGGAGGTGGATTTTCACGGACAGAAGCTAATATTCGTTTATACATAACCTGT